TTAGGTCTCTGCTTTTTGCAGATGATGTGGTTCTGTTGGCCTCATCAGACCGTGACCTTCGGCTCTCACTGGAACAGTTCGCAGCCGAGTGTGAAGCGGCTGGAATGAAAATCAGCACCTCCAAATCCGAGACCATGGTCCTCAGCCGGAAAAGGGTGGAGTGCTCTCTCCAGGTCGGGGAGGAGGTCCTTCCCCAAGTGGAGGAGTTTAAGTATCTCGGGGTCTTGTTCACGAGTGAGGGAAGGATGGAGCGGGAGATCGACAGGCGGATCGGTGCGGCATCAGCAGTGATGCGGGTGCTGCATCGGTCTATCGTGGTGAAGAAGGAGCTGAGCCAAAAGGCAAAGCTCTCGATTCACCGGTCAATCTACGTTCCTACCCTCACCTATGGTCATGAGCTGTGGGTAGTGACCGAAAGAACGAGATCACGAGTGCAAGCGGCTGAAATGAGTTTTCTCCGCAGGGTGGCTCGGTCATTCGGGAGAGACTCAGAGTAGAGCCGCTGCTCCTCCGCATTGAGAGGAGCCAGATGAGGTGGCTCGGGCATCTGCTTAGGATGCCTCCAGGACGCCTCCCTGGTGAGGTGTTCTGGGCATGTCCCACTGGGAGGAGGCCCCGGGGAAGACCCAGGACACGCTGGAGGGACTATGTCTCTCGGCTGGCCTGGGAACGCCTCGGGATCCCCCCAGAGGAGCTCAAGGAAGTGGCCAGGGAGAGGGAAGTCTGGGTTTTCCTGCTGCCCCCGCGACCCGACCTCGGATAAGCAGAAGTAAATGGATGGATGGATGGATGGAAGGACAGTCTCATTACCCAGATATACAGTTTGAGTCTTGAAAACAATACTTAAGTCAACACTGTCAATCTAAAAAACCAAAAAATAATCCCCTCTAAGAGATGAGGCGAAAAATCTTTTCGTTATCAGTCATGCAAGCACTGACACCATTTAATACCAATGCATTTCATTTAAATAACTCCACTAACTCTTGACCAGACCATCAATGTTTAAATTCGAGCCCTCCTTGCCAAATATTTATACAAAAGTTGAAATTTTACAATAAATTTCAAATTGTTTCAATGTTTATGTAACATCACCCTTGCGCAAAGCTGCTAAATGCAATCTTTGCTCTCAACATCTGTGACAAGAATTATGTCACAACAGCTGCGTGTGCTGTGGTGCGTCCGCGTAAGCAATAGCTCAGGGGTGGCCAATCTTATCCAGGAAGGGCCGTGGTGCGGGTTTTCACTGCAACTCCATAATTACATTACTAATTAGAGGACTGATTGGCTGAAGAGTCCACACCCCGATTTGAACAGCTGACCTAAAGGTTACCCCTAAAACCTGCAAACACACTAACCCTTTGCAGATAAGATTGGCCACCCCTGCAGTAGATGGAAACTAGCCCCTACTACTCTGTCATGATATCTACTGTCAGCTAGGGTGTGGGAGTTTATGACTTTTTTTTTTTTTTTTTTTGGAATTACGTGTAAAAACCATGAATAAGTTTCCACTGCATCTTACCTCCCCCAGTCTTACTGTAGATGATTGTAATCAATGCAATCTGCTCCATTCCTACATGCAGCATGGCTCTGTCTTTACTTTGCCAAATCTCCTCTCCTATTCAGCACATGCTAAATAATTAAAAGCATAGTTTCCCACTTGGGTCTCAACTGACTAAGCATTGACCATATTTTGGCTACAAATTGCATTTTGAATTAACTTCTAGACAAAGTTTTCACTTATTTGTTTGTTCAAATAAATTCAAATATCCTCCTGAGACCCCACCCATTCATTTATGTCCATTGTAGTGGGCATGTTGTTTTTGCATCTATCTTTTCACTGATGTAAGGAAACATATTTATTCCTGTTGTACACTAAAGAACACTGTGAAATTAAAAATAAAAATAAATTTGAAAAAATCTAAATTGTAAGATGTCTTATTTCCTCCAAAGACAAATAACCTATAATTGAAGGACACTTTTTTCCTTGGGTCTCAGGAGGATATAATTGTAAAAGAATTACAGATATTGCCATTGCTGTCCAGAGAGGCTTGCTGCTTAGATACACCTTATATTATTTCACGAAAATGTGTTCATTTTAAATACTTTGGTTTATAAACTAAATTTACAGGAAATGGATGTGATTCTCGCACTTCATTGCGGTTAATTCTTTATGAACTATATGAAAGGTGTGACCAGTTTGAACCATTATTATTGTTATTGTATTTCATTATCCAATCGTACGTGTTACAAAATCAGGTCATTTATCTTTAAATTTCCCAGCTATTTGATCGGGACTGCGGTAAAGAATTTCAGATATTTTTAACCAATCTTCCGTTATTCATAAACAAAAATGGCTTAACGAAGGCGATTGTTATACTGTTCACTATACTGCATATAATTTCATTTATTCCTAAATGAGGTCAATTTAGCTCCGCCCCATTGGTGAAAAGTCATAAGCTAAGAGCGTGGTGGAAAGACTGGGAAAGACAGTATCAGCAAAGAAAGTTGTAGATACCTAAGTTGAATTTTGTCTCCTTTGATACAGTACATTATACTTGGGAATTCCTTGATATTAGCAAAGGAAAGAAAACCGGTTTTGAAAGGTAAGACGTACTATATACCATTTGGATAATCATAATATACTTTTAAGTTGTCTGTCGTTACTTTATGGTCACTGTTGTTTCTTTCACCAATAAATAGAATATTCTCATAATCAGAGCAAATCTGTTTGTAGCATATTTTCATAATTATTCAGTTAAAAATTAAAGCCGCATTACAACAGATGAATACCGTTATCATTCTAACAAAAAAGGGACAGAACACAAATAATTTCTTAACACAGTAAAATCTTATGTGATGCGTTTTTTGTATAAATAAATCAGTATGAATATTCCTACGTTTTGGCTTACAAGGGCCATAATAAATATACAAATAGATCAAAACATCAGATATCGAACATAATGTTCATGACGTATTCATAAATATTATTTAGTTTAATGAAACATTAAGAAGCTAGAAACATTAATACACTACAAACTATATGGTTTGAAAAATCACTGCTAAGGAGACCCGTTCATCAGCTTTTCAGAATCAGTGTCTTGTATGTGACCAATTTCCATGGTGTTTGGGATGAAAAGAAAATGTGCTTGGCTTGACTTTTAATTTTGTGAGAAGGAAGAATATCCACTCTGCTTTTGCAAAGTAATTTTCACTGTAATACTATGATCCCTGCTCCATCATATCTTACCTCGACTTACCCCAACAATGTTTTCTGCAGGAACTGTGATTTGCCATCAAACAAGATGAGCTGGCTAACGCTGTACTCCCAGCTGACCGGAGTAAACAAACACTCTACCAGCCTTGGGAAGGTCTGGCTCTCTGTACTGTTATTCTTCCGTATCATGATTCTAATGCTGGCGGCTGAGAAAGTATGGGGAGATGAAAAATCAGAATTTTCATGCAACACGTTGAGCCCTGGTTGCGAAAGTGTCTGCTACGACCATTACTTCCCCATTTCACACATACGCCTGTGGTGCCTGCAGCTGATCTTCGTGTCCACGCCAGCTTTGCTTGTGGCCATGTACGTAGCATACAACAAGCATGGAACCAAAAGAGTTATTCTGCGCTCAGGCAATGAAAACATAGAGGGAGACCTGAAGGCTCTGAAGAATAAACGTCTGCCCATCACCGGACAGCTCTGGTGGATCTACTTTTTCAGCCTGCTTCTCCGGCTCCTGTTTGAGGGGGGCTTCATGTATGCCCTGTACACCATCTACGGTAGCTTCTACATCAGTCGAGCTGTGCTGTGCAATGTAAAGCCCTGTGAAAACCAAGCAAATTGCTATATTTCTCGTCCCACCGAAAAGACCATATTCACCATCTTCATGGTGGTGTCCTCAAGTCTATGTATTTTGCTCAACCTAGCTGAACTCTTCTACCTGATTGCTAAGGCACTGATACGGAGCTTTCAGCTCTCCAACAGAAGGCAGGATTGCAACCATTTAGCCAGTAAGTTTGAGGAGGCGATTCCCATGGAAAAACAGACAAGTCCCAAATATTGAAGTGACTCCTTTCCCAAAGGAGTTACTGATAAAATGACAATTTCTTATTCTTCTTCAACAACAAAAAAACTATTCATAAAACAAGATTTGTCTTCCAGGTTCAGAGAAATTAACAAAAGTGAATATGAGCAGTATTATTGAATGCCCTTTTCGCTGGCAAGGTTGCAAATCATTTTAGTTTAGGAGCCACAAGTAATGTAGTAGTACACTCTTACTTAATGTACTAGTTAACCAGAATCTAAATGTTCTGTACTGATTCCATGTTTGTTCATCATTAATCAGTCATAACAGTTCATATATTTCATGCAGTTACCATATTTGTTTATGATTTGTACTTCAATTCACTCAAAATTTGAATCAATTTTGGTGTGCTACATCAAAATCAAAGTTTTTTTGACCTGAAAACAAAGGCCTCCTCAAATACAGAAGTTGGGTTTAGTAGAATTGTAGTTTTGCTACCAGGTTCCGAAACCAGCAACGATACGTCTGAGATAAGCTTAAGCCTTAAAGATACTTCATAGTAGGCCTGCTGGGTGGGATGGTAGTTCAGTACTGGGGGTGGTTCCTGTTTTGCTACCTTAGCCACTGTCCATCTAAATATCTGTTCATTTGCCTGCTGTAAGGCCTCAAAATGTGCATATCTTTAAATCTTCATCTGCTTGCTTGACATTACTATCCTAAACAGCTTCTAAATTTTAACCATTAGTATGGATAAATATTTTACTCGATTAATTCAGGCTAATTAAGTAGGTATTACAAAAGGACAACTTTTGGGAGTTACACTAGAAATGTTTAAAGTAGCAAAGCCATAAACCACTACATCAGCTACTTTTACCACCAGGGATGGAGCACACTGCCACCTGGGCAGGGGCATCCGAAGCATTTTGAATGTGGGGGGGACACACTGGCATAAAACTAATATTTTATGTTAAATGTGGGGGAGGGGGGGGTCCAAATGAATAATTATGAAATGTGAGGGGGACACGTCCCCTTCAGATTTAATGGCACTGGCGCCCATGCGCCTGGGCCTTAGCCTGAGTAACTTTTGAAGCATCATTTGGAAGGCCTCCATCCACTTCCCATATCTGCTTGTCCCATACAGGGTCATCCTCTCCTTTATATAGTACTGTATAAACAGACACTTATATACATGCACACATGGGCAGTTAATAGAAGATTTGAGGTGTGATACCAAAATATGTTCAGGAGGGACTCTGGTATTAATCTGCTAAGATGCCCAGTCAAATTAACATGTAGCTATGCACTGTTAGATATATTTAACATATTTAAACAAATGTATTTTTTAACCATATTTTGTATGGTTAAATGTATAACCACCTGAAAGATTTAGGTAACAATAGATTTGCCTGAGATTTACACTGTACTTGTTGATTTTCAATGTAATGGTCCAAATAGTATGTGAAATACACCATTTACTATGAACCACAAATTATAAAGAGATTTCATTCAGTGCAACAAAATGTGAACTGGTATTTTCATGTAACTTAGGGCTGGGGGTGGTGCGGGTTGGGAAAAGGTCGAGCCATCGTGAAGAGCCGAGGTTGAATGTTGGTCGGTGTCCGGCTCCCCTCCCTCTGCTACTCCAGTTTAGTCATAATGTATTAATTCTCTTAAATTATATACAAATTATTGGTTACACTTGGAAATTAAATACATTGGCTCTAATGGTTATGCTTGTATTACAGTACAAAGTTATGTTAGCATTATTTATTTATTATTATGAATTAACTGCACAATGAGTAACTGCCTACGCACCCTCATGCCCTACACTATGTTACTATGTACAGATGTTACTCTCGGTTGACGACCCGCAGTGACCCGCCTACTGACTTTGAAGGGTCACACTGACAGATAAAATTAATTCATGATGTGGTGAAAGTGCCAAAAGTGCCAAAATTAAATAAATAGTGAAATAATTGTAAATGACACATGTAATTAATTAATAATGATTTTATTTCTAATGGTAGATAATAATTCATGGCACATTTAATTAACGATATTTTTATTTCCCATTTTAAATAATTCATGACACATTTAAGTAATAATTTATCTTTATATTTCCCATTTTAAACAATTCATGGCACATTTAATTAATTAATTATTGGTGTATTTATTTATTTAATTTTGGCACTCTTAGCCCTCCATACTACACTGCCCCCCACCTTGTATAGGATAAGGCATCGGTAAATTAATGAATAACAATTAAAAAACAATCCAATTCACGAGAAGGAAAAATGTTGGCAGAATAACATTAGGTTAACTAAGAATAACTAGATAGAAAATAACTGGACAGAAACGTATGTGTGTCACGGACCAACCCCGGAGATCCTCTAGTGACATTGGGAGGACCACGCCCTCGGGGAGACCCCGACGAGGATTACCCTTCTGAGACCCCGAGACCGACCTCTGCCTGTCCATTGACCACCGATTACCTGCCTAGCCCTCCGATCGCCGACACTCACCGCCCGAACCCCGCCTGTCTGACTATACGATCTCTGTCTGCCGTTTTGGATTTACGACGAGTTATTTTTTCGCTCCCATCGCTTTTTGGAGAGGTTTCAATCTATAATAAAGCTGCTCCTCGCTCCTGATTTCCGCGCTAGTGTCTTTTCTTCTCCGTTATCATAACAATGTGTCTATAAATTTAAGTACTAGGCAGGTTAAAACAATTATAATTAAGGTAAATGAAAACCAAACCCTCAAAATTTGCCAAAGAATGCAGCAGGGACTGTTAGCCTAGCTAATCACTACTGATCGACTTATAGAATCCCTTTAACATAACTGCAACAATTAACATTAAGGCTGGGCAATAGGGCAAAATAATTTATCATAATACTTTTTTGTATCGTTCAATATCAATAATTATCACTATATATATGATATTACCAAAACAGTAGCATGTGGTGTGCTCTGCTAACTCAATCAAAAGTTTTGTATCCATCTCAGATGTTTAATAATTTTGGGACAAAACATAATTGGCTGAACTCTGTCTCTCCATAATGTTCCACTATGTATTTGTCCCATACTTGCTTCCATTTATTCCTGCCGAGGAATGACGAGGTGTAGAAATTATGTATGATCTTTGGAATCTCGTAACACATGATAACGTTATACTGTAGCGTATGGAGATGCCGAACCTAATGCCTGCCTCAGCATCCCAATTACATGTGTCGCTGCATTCTGTAACTGCATCTGTTTTATATTGATGGGGAAACAGGCAAGGGGGCAATGAAGTCAGTGAAATTATACTTATAACATAGATAAACCATACTTCATCCGCCAATAGCGTTCGCTGTCAGAAACGGCATGACTCCGCCCCCAAACTGTCAAAACCTCCCCCCGGCAGAACGCGAGCGCAGAAATTTCCATCGAGCTCAGAGAGCGGCCGAAGGAAATGCGCTTTGCGCACGAGCGCAACCATAACGTTGGAAGGAGAAAAATACATTAGAGATGGTGATATTATGATGCACGCACACGCAGCTTTCGTCTTTGGCTGAGTTAGGAGAGGTATGTAGTAGGTGTGTGCCCGTGGGGGGAGGGGGTAGTGGAGTTCCGGCTTTGATGTTGCAGACGCGTGTAATTACATTTAACTTACATTAAAACATAAAAAAATACAAATAACTCCTGGGCTCATATTTCTACTGTTGATTATATGTACTCATTAGTGCAATGGTTCCCAACCTTTTTTTGCCTGTGACCCCATTTTGACATCACAAATTGGTGATATACTCCATGGTGAGGGATGTGCCAGGCAGGGCTGTTAGTATTATTATTGAATTTCAGGCAAGGTGATCACCATGGGCTTTAGCCCCCCTAACATTTGNGAGCTGTGCACGCGCATTTTGCCTCCAAAAAAAAACAAAATAAATAAATACATTTGCCCAGACAAGTTCGCGGGAGAATTTGAGTGCGGGTATTTTCTTATTTTTGGTTGTTGTTTAATGAAAGGAGAGCTTCGATTGGTTTTTTTTGTACGGAATGGAAGATTTCCAATTAGACAAGATGGCGAGCCTGTCCCAGGAAACCCCGCATGCAGGACACCAAGCCTACGGTAGCCTGGCCAGCTGCCGTATGGTTTTTTCAGCATCAGCCTGAACCACCAAGCCTCGCATGTGGACAGCAGATAAGCTTGTGTTTCTGCACAGAAAAGAACTCTGAACGTGCGCACAAGGACAATTTTATTTACACACACACACATACATTCAAATTATATTAATGTATATATGTTCTGTTTCATATTGTGCAATATAATGATCAGTGCTGTACAAAATAAAGTTAGTTACAAAAAAAATTAAGGAAAAAATCTAAGTCTCAGGTTGGTTGTATAACAACTCTAGGACCTAGTGTCTTTGTGAGTGTAGCCTTCCCACTGGTCCATTTAACAAGAGTGCTACACAAAGTGGCGAGCCAGCCAGGAGAGTTGTGGCTTTAGTTTGTAAAGCTTTTTTTTTTTGACATTGAGAGAAGTTATTTTGAACTTGTTGCTGTAACATTGAGACATTGAAAATGGATGTCATAAGATCTGAGAATATCAAAGTACCAAATGCTGTCTTAGTTAGTGGACTGTCTCTTTCTGAAGCTGATGATTACATTTTTGAAGTTCTACGCAGCTACGGAACTGTAAGCAGAGTACTGCAGATTGATAGCCCAGATCCAGTTTTTCAGAACACTGCTGTTGTAGAATATGAAAGTGGTGCATCTATTGAGGCTCTTAAGGACGAGTTGCCTTGTTCCAAATCCTCTCCTTCTGAATCAAACGTGACCTATCATGTTAAGCTTCTTTCCACCTTATTTACTTCATCTTTAGGTTCCAGCCTAACCAGTAACTATGTAGCAGAGCTGAGGAATGTCGCAAAATTAGGTGGCATAGACTTTAAGGTGTTACTCCAGGATGAGTTAGCCAGAATTCAAGGGTCCAGTAGTGATATATCCATACAGATAGAGGGGGATCAGGAAGTTGTCCAAGAGTCCTGTTCCTTTTCAGATGCCAGCAAAAGCCCAGAGTCCATATCCAGGGTTATAGCTGAGACTGGCTCCACCGACGCTGCATTTTCAATACGGTTACCTGCTGATCAGCTCACTACCCCTAAAGTCCAAAGGCTAGTTGTTGAGCACATAGTGAAAAGCAGTGATGTTTCTGCTCAGCATCATCGTTCTCTCAGGCTGAGATCCTTCTCTGGCAAAAGCCCTGTTCCCGCAATGGAAGTTGATCCTAACCCCTAAAACCTAACCCTAATCCCAAGACGGTGGAACTGCACATCTGCACCTGCGCAGAAAGGCTCGATAGCACGTCTCGATAGGTAGGATGTTTTGTCAGAACACCGGCACTAAAAGCAACGCGCACACAGATGCAAATATTACAATCTGCAAAGCAATATG